ACGATGAACAGTGAAGACGGACAAGTTTACTCTGTTTGTATACTGCAATTTTATACAACCGTATGCAGTAAAAACATAAACTAACAAAATGTGAACAAATAAGTAGACGAAACTCTTAGAGATTACAACTTTCTCAGTAGGTATCACTTAAATCAAAGAATCATCTTAAAAGACGACAATGAATTCGTCACTGAATTCCCATGTTTATTGGGACACCCTGTAGCTTGCAGTTATTGATTATGCATATGATCTGATAATGATTAAAAGCTTGTTCATAATCTTCTTTAAATGCCATTATAACATGTTGAAAAGTTTTATTCATAATCAATTACACACAATTACCGACTAAGAATGAGACGTCAGAACAGGCGTTCCTCAAGGAGCGGTAATCTCACCGATCCTCTTTAATTTCTATCTCAAAGATCTGCCTTCCCCCCCTCCAGGTATTAAAGTAGTTCAATATGCTGATGACATATCCATCTACTCATCAGGGAAATCCATCACCTCCATGTCAATTAGCATCAGCAACTATGTCAATAAAGTAACAGACTTTCTGGAAGAAAGAGAACTATTAGTCTCTCCAGAATAATCAACCGTCACTCTCTTCACTCCAGACTCCCATGAAGCCAGAATCCATCCCCAGATCAAAATCAAAAACCTACTCGTTCCTCTAGAAAAACAACCCAGACTCCTTGGAGTAACTTTTGACACCATGCACACCTTCAACCGACACGCCAAACTAACAGCCTCAAAAGCAAGTAAGAAAATAAACATATTAAAATCACTGGCAGGATCCACATGGGGCCAAAGCAAGGAAACATTAATCCTTACCTACAAATCTATTTGTAGGAGCGTCCTGGAATATGCTGCTCCAGTATGGGCTCCAGCTATAAGCAAATCAAGGTGGTCTGATCTTCAGATCAGTCCAAAACTCAGCCTTGAGAATTGCCACTGGTTCCCACTCATGACGAATATAAACCACCTACACATGAAACCAAGGTGCTCCCTCTAGAAATACACAGCAAAATGATAACTAAACAATACCTCGCATCAACCCACCTACCTGATCACCCTGGTAATAAACACCTATACAGAACTCAACCCCCTCGTCAAATGAAACTACAAAAATCCATGAACATCTACACAGAAGAGGTTACACACAGATTCAGAGAACAAGAGCCAACCAAACAAGATTATAAAAGAGTCCTCAAAGACATACACACAGAAACAGT